GTCTTTTTGTGTGTATGTTTAAGTGATTAGATAAACTCTTGCTCACATCAGATGAACATATTTATTATAAAAAAAAAAAAAATGCTTAAATGAACATTTGAAATGGAAGGGCAGTCATACTTGGTGTTTGTTTACTTAGTCAAAAAAACTGTCAGTATTTCTGGGTAATTAACTGATAAAATAAATTTTGTATGTCAGAATTTCAAGGCTGCTAGTCAAGTGATAGGCCCACAAAAGTGGCTGGTTTCATTTGAATTCTGTTAGTACCAAAGTTAAATGCTGTAAGTTGGACCAGAATCATTCCTTTTTGTTTGTGTTCAATGCTGGTGTTGCAAAACTACACCACAACCACCTCCCCACAATTAATTTTAAGTTTATTATTAGTTTGGGTGTTAGAAGAACAGATTGTCTCCCTTGCACTCTGAATTATTGTTGACACTGCAGTTACACTGAAAATGCAGATCTTTCAGCTGCAATTAATAAACTGCACTATCAATGAATGAAAACTGCTTACACATTGTTCTTGCAAAATAAATACATGCATGTTATAATGAGTAATCTGTGTAAAGGCCAACTCGAATTCATTTCAATAAATTTGGAATATAATTTAAAGATTTTCTTCTTTTTTTTTTTTTCTCCTTGTATTTTTATTAATTCTTTGGTCTAAGGTTCTCTTAGTTTAGCAATTCTCATTTGTTTAATTCTGTTCAATTGACTTACCTCTACTGATAGCAGCTGAAAACAAAGAAACAGTTGTAATAATACTTAAAAATTCCATAAAAGTATCTAATCTCACAATTAGAAAATTCTACTACTGCTACTCAATAAGGTCTTGAGTTGAAAGAAAATGATTAACAGAATTTTTTGGAATGAGAAAACTAACTAATCAAGACTGTTTTCATAGCCTAATTGAATAATTTATCTTTCATTGTTCATGAATAGATGTCATGGAATGCATGTTAATTTTATCTAAAATTCCTGTCAATCAACTTAAAATAAATTGAATAAAAATAAAACATTTACCATATATATCATGTGACTTTTGAAGCTAATTTTAAGGGTGTAGGAATTTAACAAAAGGATAAAAAGCTTAAACATGAAACACTTGTGTTCATAGGTTAATGTTATCTTTTTTTTTCTTCTTCTTTATTGCTAGAGCTGAGTCTAAATTGAATAATTTTAGTTTCTTCCCTCCCCTATCACCCACTTCATACAACATGAATAAAATGCAAAGTTTATATCAAAATTTGATAAAATCTCAGGTAACCAGTTTTTTTTTTTTGTTATTGTTGTTTTAAATTATATTACTGACATACAAGACAAATGGGAGGCACAGTGGAATAATGGATAGCAGCTAGAATTGAAGAGCTGAGTTTGAATTCCACTTACTTATGTGCTATTACCTTTGGGAAAGCTATGAATCCTCTTCTTCTCCCCTCAGCTATGGGTAAATTGCAGGACAGACTGTGTTCTATAACAACTTCTAAGAGAAGAAAAAAACTGAATTCAGAACCAGCCGGCAGTGGGTTTGGCTCTGTCAGGCCATCTTGCCCAAGAAACACCACTTTTGCTGTGGGTGCAGTACATATGGTGCCCCTAAGACACAGGATAAAAAAAACCACTGACATACAAAACAAACCTTGAAATAAATAATAAGAAATAAATAGACAAATACAATAAATTCTTGATACTGAAATTTAATTTCAATTTTGTCTATGAAGAAATCAATCAAAGATGTTACATAGCAGGTACTAGCTCTATGGTTGTGTCCTTGTACTGGAGGCTAATGTTAATTCTCAAGACTAAAGAACTTTAATTGATTAACTTTAATGAAAGTAACCATCTGGTACCCAGTGCAACATATAAATAATATTGGCATGATGTCTAAGAATCCTATTTCTAATTGAAAGACTTCAAGAGGAAATTCATTTCTGAAATTCCTCCTGATATTTTATCAATACTGTAGGAGTTGGTACAGCAGATCAATGTATAAACAACAACAGTCCTCTCTTCTCAGATGATTTTACAATTTTATTTCAATCTTGTTTTTAATTTCCCCACTTGATATAAAAAAATAGAATTTGTCACCAAACAAGTTTCATCTTTAATAAAACTGATCAAGTTATAGTTTTTATAAATGTATATCTAATTTTTCTTCTATGAGAGATTTTTTGGTAGCAGCTGGAATAATTTATCTTCAAATTAGGAAAGGCATTGTCAGACAATTCTAAAATCTCTTAAACTTGTTGATAATATTTGTACTGAATTTTTAGACTTGGAGATGTATTTTTGTTAGTTTATTTATTTTTTAATTTCCTCTTCTATTTTTTGGTATTATTGTCCCAATAATCATCATGAAAATCTGATATAAAAAACATAAACTACTTCCTCAATGCGCTGTTTTGCGAATTTGTTTGCAAGAATAAAAACAAATGTATTTGGGTTTTTTTTTTTTTTTTGAAAACTGAAAAAGCAGTCCTGTTTGTTTTATCAATTTGTT